GAGGGAGGGAGGGAGGAAGGAAGGAAGGAAGGAAGGAAGGAAGGAAGGAAGGAAGGAAGGAAGGAAGGAAGGAAAAATGGGCTGGGAAGTAGAGACAGGAGAACAAATTCAAGGTCATCTTTGGTTGCACAGCAAGTTTAAGGATGCATAAGACCCCGTCTCAAAATGCCAAAACAAACAAGAAGGGAAATACAGAATCACAAATATAATCCACAGCCAAGCATGATGGCATACACCTTTAATCCCAGCACTCAGGAAGCAGAGGCAGGCAGATCTCTGTGAGTTCAAGGCCAGCCTGGTCTACACAGTGAGTTCTAGGTTAGTTGGGGAGACCCTGTCTCAAATATACATTAAACCCAAAAATATAAGGAACTGAAAGGCAAATGAAGTTACCTTAGCACAATGAAGATCCTTATGTTTCTTCAATAGTTTATCAGCTTGCTGAATTGCCATTTTATTATTCCCATTATCAAGATAATCTGGGAAAAAAGAAATTGAGTTACTATATTCTTTTACCAAACATGAGAAAAACAGTTTCCTTTGAGATGTTTCAGAAAGTATCTTAATTTGTCATTAAAAACATCACAGGAGGGGCTACTGCTGATTCTTCTATAACTGTCCAGCAGCAGCCCCTTGAACTGTACTAAGTAAACTTCTCTTTCTATTCAAAATAAAAACAAGAGATAGGGTGTTGACACACCCTTTTTAGTCCCAGCACTGAGGCAGAGGCAGGAGAATCTCTAAAGAGTTCAAGGCCAGCCTGGTCTACATAGTGAGTTCCAGGCCAGCTGGGCTACAGGGAGACCCTGTCTCAAAACAACCAAAACACAAAACAAAAACAGAGAGCTGGATGTGGTGGTGTACAGCTTTAAACCCAGCATTTGGGAGGCAGGTAAGCAGATCTCAGTGAGACTGAGGCCATCCTGGTCTACACAGCAAGTCCAGGCCAGCTGGCTATAGGAAGACCCTATCCTTAAAAAATTAAAAAAAAAAAAAAGGCTAGCCAGGCGTGGTAGCACACGCCTTTAATCCCAGCACTTGGGAGGCAGAGGCTGGTGGATCTCTGTGTGTTCTAAGGCCAGCCTGGTCTACATAGTGAGTTCCAGGACAGCTGGGGCTACAGGGAGACCCTGTCTCAAAAAGACCAAAAAAAAAGGCTTGGTGCACACCTTTAATCCCAGCACTCAGAAGGCAGAGGCAGGTAGATCTCTGTGAGAATGAAGCCAGCCTGGTCTACATAGCAAGTTTCCAGGTCAGCTGTGGCTACAGGGAGACTCTTGTTTAAAAAAAAACAAAAAACAACAACAACAACAAAAAAAAGCAGGGGGGAAGGGCTGGAGAAATACACTTGCTGCTCCTCCAAGGGGGAATCCAATGCCTCTGGCCACCACAGGCACCTACACTCATGTGCATATACCACACTCACACACAGGATTAAAAAACAAATCTTAAATCTTAAAAAAATCCAAGACCACACATTCAGATAACAGATCATTCTTAACTTGTTTTTTAGATATTATTTTACCAGTTTTTAAAATATTTTATTTAGTTTTATGTGTATGAGTGTTCTGCCTCCACGTAAATATACTATATGCATGTAGTGCCTGTGGAGGCCAGAAGAGAACATCAGAACTCCTAGAACTGGAGTTACGGGTGGTTGTGAGCCTCCATGTGGGTGTTGGAAACCAAACCTGGGTCTTCTGTAAGAGAAGCAAGTGTTCTTAACTGCTCAACCAACTCTCCAGGCCATATTTGTTTATTTATTTATTTATTTATTTATTTATTTTTATTTTATGTGTACAAGCATATTGTCTACATGTCTGTAAGTGCATCCATGTCATGCAATGCCCTCAAAGGTCAGAAGAGGGTGTCAAATTCCTCTGGAACTGGTGTTATGGATAGTGTTAGAGTCCAGGTCTGCAGACAACTACTCCTCATAGCACTCAGTAAAGCCCCATTGCAAAACAGGAAGCCCTGAGACCCCTTGCAAAACAAGAACTGGCCAGGCAGCTGCATTTACAGCTGTTTCAGCACAAAGCTGTTTCCCAGATAATTTTAGAAGACAAACAGGCCCTGCACCCCGAGACCCACTGATGTAAGAGCTGTCTCAGTACAAGCTGCTTCCTCCTGATAAGTTTCATAATGTGTAGACCCCCTTAAGGCCCTGCACCCCCTGACCCACTATTGTAAGAGCTGCCTCAGCATAAGCTGCTTCCTTTAAGATACGTTTGGAAGGGAAGCAGACCCCCCCACCCCTTAATCTTACAACCCAAGACCCCGCTGATGTAAGAGACTGTCTCAGCAGAGATTGCTTCCTCCTGGCAGGATCCAGACCATTCTGCTTGGAATAATTTTTCCCACGTTCCACACTCCCTAGCCCCCCTACAAAAGCTCCCAGCCAACAGCTTGTAAACTCACAGTTCCTCCATCCTGAATTGGGGACTGACCCATGCACTTTCTCTGCCAATAAACTCTAGCCCTATCCCCCCAGAGTTCTTGTCTGTGTCCTGGTGCTTTCTCCCAATCCACTTGATTCACCTATCAGATAGCTGTTAGCTGCCATCTGAGTGCTGGGAATTGAACCCAGGTCCTCTGTAAGAGCAGCCAGCACTCTTAACTACTGAGCCATCATCTCTCTAGCCCCATAATTTTTTTTTTTCAGTCTTTTTGAGACAGGGTCTCCCTGTAGCCCCAGCTGACCTGGAACTCGCTAGACCAGGTTGGCCTCAAACTCACAGAGATCCACCTGCCTCTGCCTCCCAAGTGCTGGGACTACAGGCGAGCACCAGCATGCCCGGCCCATAATTATTCATTTTTAATGTATGTGTGTGTTGATTTGTGAACATGAATGCAGTACCTGTGGGGGCCATAAGGGGAATCAGATCCAGATCCTCTGGAAGAACAGTACATGCTCTTAACTGCTGAGCCATCTCTCCACCCCTTAGTATGTATTCATGGGGCAGGGGGACATGTGCACACTTGAAATAATTTTTTTTTTTTTTTGGTCTTTTTGAGACAGGGTCTCCCTGTAACCCAGCTGACCTGGAACTCCTTATGTAGACCAGGCTGGCCTCAAACTCACAGAGATCCGCCTGCCTCTGCCTCCCAAGTGCTGGGATTAAAGGCGTGTGCCACCATGCCTGGCCGAAATAAACTTTTTAAGGAGAAATTCTTGGGCTGGCAAAAACTGTTCAGCAGGTAACCATTGCTTGGAGCTAAGTCTGATGACCTGAGTTAGATCCTACAGAGAACCAACTACTAAAAGTTGTCCTCTGACTGTGGGGGCTGTATGTCTCACACAGATATGCTAAGTAAACAACTGTTTAAAAAAAATGTTTAAGGCCAGGCTTGGTGGTGTACACCTTTAATCCTAGCGGGAGGCAGAGGCAGGCAGATCTCTTTGAGTTCTAGGCCAGCCTGGTCTACACAGTGAGCTCCAGGCCAGCTGAGACTACAGGGAGAATCCTTTTTTTTAATGTTCAATCTTCCAAATCTTCCTGATGGACCATGCTCCCTCAATAAAACAAAGTATTTACTAAGGATTGGAAAGATGGCTAAGCAGTTTAAGAGGACTTTCTCCTTTTGTAGGGGACCTGGGTTTGGTTCCCAGCACCCACATGGTAGCTAACAACCATCTTTAACTCCAGCTCCAGGAGATCTGATGCCCTCTTCTGGCTTCCATGGGCAGTGCATACACATGGTGCACTTAACATATATGTCATCAAAACACTCATAAGCAAAAAAGTAAATAAACAAAAATTTTTTAAAAATTAAGTATTGGGGGCTGGAGAGATAGCACAGCGGTTAGGAACACTGACTGTTCTTGCAGAAGACCTGGGTTTGAATCCCAGCACCCACATGGCAGCTAACAACTGTCCGTAACTCCAGTTCCAGGGTTTCCAACAGTCTCTTCTGTCCTCCTCAGGCACTGCACAACACGGGTGTACTTACCTACATGCAGGCAATACGCGCATACACATAAAATAAAAATAATAATTTTTTTTTAAAAGAAGTTTAAAAAACGGAAAAAAAAGATTTAAAAAAATTAAGTATTTACTTTGCCACAGAGCTAACTATAATACAGTGAAAAAAATTAGAGGTAGTTTGACCCAAGAGCCTAGGGGATGGGGAATGAAGCAGGCAAGAATGCAGGGGAAAGCGCACGTTCAAACAGCAGTCAGAACCAAAAGGAGACTCCACTTTGAAGTGGATGTTTAGGTTCCCAAGCTATTTAGGCTTCAAAATCAACTGCTATCTTTTGAATACGTACACACAATTTGAATACATACACAAACGATTACCACATTCAAACCTACCCAATGCCTCAGTTAATAATTTTTGTGTAGTTAGAACATTGTATATCTTGACAATTTTTTCAGTAAGCCATATAGTATTAACTGTAGTTCTCACACTGTACCTAGAACTCTAGACATATTCATCCTACATGACTGTCGAGTCTGTATCTTTTGACCCCCATCGCCCCTTTCTCTCCCCCTCCACACCCTTATAACCACTGTTCTACTCTATGTGTGCATCTACACATTAGCTCAGTCAGGCAATAGTTTTCTTTCTGTGTCAGCTTATTTCACTTAGCACAGTGACCTCCAGACTGTCACAACGCTATCATCTCCTTTTTTCACTTTTTAATTTTTTGTCTTTTTGAGACAGGGTCTCCCTGTAGCCCCAGCTAGCCTGGATTCACTATGTAGACCAGGCTGGCCTTGAACTCACAGAGATCCTCCTGCCTCTGCCTCCCAAGTGCTGGGATTAAAGGTGTGCGCCACCACACTCGACTTCATCTCCTTTTTTAAAGGTTCAATATTTTCCTTTTCTTTATCCATGCATCCATCAATGGAAACATGTTATTTTTACACTTTGGCTATTGTGACTGATGCTGTAACCAACACAGAAGCAGACATCCAGGAAGCCAAAGTGATTTCTCCTGAATACATACCCAATAGGCTGGGTCACATGGTAGCTCCCTAGTGCTGGAATTACATGTGTGAGTGAGCATCACACCCAGCTATTTTTAATCTTTCTTTCTTTTTTTTTTTTTTTTTTTTTTTTGAGACAGGGTCTCCCTGTAGCTGCAGCTGTCCTGGAACTCACTATGTAGACCAGGCTGGCTTTGAGCTCACAAAGATCCGCCTGCCTCTGCCTCCCAAGTGCTGGGATTAAAGGTGTGCGCCACCAAGCTCGGCTATTTTTAATCTTTTTTTTCTTTTCTTTCTTTTTTTTTTTCAGAGCTGAGGACCGAACCCAGGGCCTTGCGCTTCTTAGGCAAGCGCTCTACCACTGAGCTAAATCCCCAACCCCTATTTTTAATCTTTTGAGGGTGCTCCATACTGTTCTTTAGAAGTGTGATCTATTACAAATCTTAAGGTTTATAGTGAGTGACCCACAATAACATTCTGTTAAGGGAGGAAAAAGCAATCAATCATTATTTTGAATGTTAACAAAAGAAAAATCTGTATTTTAA